TTTTGTTTGTATTTTAAGATAAAAATGTTTTGTTTGTATTTTTCTCTAAGCAAGTTCATTAAATATTATGTACTAGTTATAATGCAATAAATTAAGTATCAGTCCTTCAAATGCGCAATACTTGCGTAAGTGGCAGTGTAATCATTTACATTCACAATTCTATTTATTTCATCATACTTGACAATCTCCATGTAATTAATAGAGATTTTGAGTCGTTAAGCGTTGATATTATAGGTTATTTATAGCTTATTTTTTATATACGTGCGATAAATGGATCGGATCAGGATATTCGATTTAATAACAGTTCATAATCCGAATGTGTTTACAAATATTAAAGGAAAAATGAATTGGATAACCGGTCCGCTTTTTTGGGTTCGGATATCAAAATTTTCGGATTTTTAAAAATGGATATTGGACCGGAAATTCGGATATCCGGTTTTTTGGATATTTTTGCTCACCCCTAGAGTCTATGCTAGTCAATGCATAGTCTTTGATAGCCTTATTAAATTTCTATTTTAATTAGAAATTTAAAATAGGAAAAACTCTGATATTATTATATTTGTAAAATAATTGCATAAATAATTTTTAAATTTGCTTAAATAATTTAAGCAAAGGAATTTCTCATGTTTGCTGTAAGAGTGAAGCTGTAAAAAATCTTATTATGTTGGCTGAATGTCTTGGAAATATATCCAGTGAGCAAGTTACTTCTGGGATCCTCAAAATAAAAATGGAAAGAGACAATATTAAATCTGGAAACATGTTTCTATTAAAAACCTTTGGAAACAACCTTCTTGTTGTTGTTGGCACTCCTGATAATAAATGTAGCAGAGTATCCATTAAAAACTTATCTCTAGAAACTATAACGGAAATCTCTAATACTCTAAACCTGAGAAAAAGAAAGACTAAGCTACTTTGTAAACATATGCAAGAAAACTTAAGGAAGGAAATGTTAGAACCTAATGTATCAACTCAAATAAAGGAGTTGCATAATGTATTTTTATGATGTCAAAATCGGATCATTCATTTCAGGTGATAAAGAGATAAGTCACAGTTTGGTATTTGTATAAGATTTTTCTGATTTAATTCTTTGTATGATTAATGAAAGAGGTTTGAATCCTTATTGCACTATTGCTAGGATTTATATTGATGGTGATCAGGGTTTTCGTAAATGCATTATAAATATTTTTGATCTACTATGTAAACATACAACTTCAGAAAGTCTCGATTATTCTGGTGTAAAAAGATCATTGGTTTTAGGTTTAGTTGAAGATGTTTCAGAACTTAATGGCGAACTATTGAAACCACCAACTCTGAGTGATACAAAATATTCAATAGTATTTGATTTACAATGAGGCAAGTCTTTATTTGGTTTAAGTAGTCACATGAAACTGGTTTAGATGGTAACAATTTACAGACTTAAATTAGATAATTTAGAAGTTAACCTTCTAAATGCAGCCTCTATATTACTAAATGTGATATTTCTCCAACCTGTAGTTAGCTGTCTTAGAAAGTTTTCAATTATTAAAACAAACGGTTTTAGCATGTTTATTGGAGAATCTATTGCTTTAGATTTTAAAAAGAATTCAGAAATAAAGTTTAACTACCAATTAAATATTAGCTAGAAAGTTCATATTTAAATATGTCATCTGTTCCTTTTCTTAAGCATAGTCAGTTTAAGCTTGGTGTATATGCCGAGGAGGCAGAAGAAAGTGCTGACCACTATCACTATCAAGTATGGAAGTGATCATAAGGAACACAATAATTATGCAAAACAGTTTAAGAAAAGTGTGATTGAGTTTAGCATAAACAGTTTCAAGTAGTCCTTTTCTCTCCTTTTTTAAAAATTTTAGTTATTGTGAACTTGATTGAATTATTTTAAAAGGAATTTCAATATTTCATGTTAAACTTACATTTATTGCATTGAAGTTATATCATTAACTTTGGAATTTATCTCAATTTTATTTTAAAAGATTTCATTTTTTCATTTAAAAGTTGTATTCTTTTAGTAAAAATTGTTTTAGAGGTGTAATATCCTAATAATTTAAAAAAAAATTCCTGCCCTCCCCATAATACCCCCTCCCCCTCCATATGCTATTTTAGGTAAAAACTATTTTTACAAAAAAATATGTTTAAAATTTAGTTCAGATTTTAACTGTTTATTTTTTTTTAGTTGTATATGTTTATTTTTTAATTTTACTTGTTTTATTTTGTTTTTATTATTTTTGTTTTATTGACTGCGGAGTATAGATTTACTAAAATAGATGGAATATGCAAGGAGTGCACGTATATAGACAGGGCCTATTCTAGGAAAAAATCTTTGGCAGTGGTACCCCCTCGTTCTGGCGAAGGCTATCGAAAACGGTCTTGAATAGCCCCTGATAGACTGAAATAAGTAGAATATGTGAGAAGTGTACTTGTTTTTGTTAAAAAATAACATTATGTCAAAAACTCGAATGACAAGCAATGTTGAAAGTGTCTTGATAAAGTAAAATCTCTATATATGTAAAAAATGCAAAAAAAAAGATAAATCATGAATAAATAAATTGCGAATCATCAGATGTAAGTGGTCTGGGTCTGGTAGACTCAGAATCAGAAAGCACTAATGCAGTAACACTAACTCAATACTACTGCATAAATAATTAAATAAAAACTTATATCTTTTATATATATAAAAAAAAAAACTGTTAAAAACAGTTAGTTTTCTTTCATTCAAATATTGAAACATAGGTCTCCAAAAGGAAGTTGTGACATAACCTCCGTCATCCTGATTCAGACTACTGCCTGAAGGTGCACATTCATGGCATTGTATTTCAAGGGCCTCACTCACTTTTGTTGACCTCTACTTTTAAATTTTTTTTTATTTTTCCATGTAAAACCACCATGACAATTTTTTGAATGCTTCGCTATTGTTGAATAATCATATTTTCCTTCATATGTATTTTTCTGATGTTGGTAAAGTGAGATTTTTAAATTTGTTTCACCGATATAACATTTTTTGTAGGAGCAGGTCTTGTTTAAAATAAAAAATGCTTAATGCATTAGCTTAACCCAATATTTGATGTCATGAAATTCTCTTTATTTTATTTTTTTTGACATTAATTTTTTTAAATTATTGCAGTATTATATTATTGCCGCAAAACGAGTTAAAGGTTATTTAACGGCTTTTTTATAATTACTATAAACGAGCCTTCCGGAAGCGCGTGCGGTTGCATGCCTTGTACATTCATGCTTAAAGTAATTTTTTTTAACAACTAGACCACATTTTTATATATATAAGTGTTTTAAGTATGCACAGCAAAATAAAGCTATAAGAAACAAGAGAATAAATCAGCAAAACTCGAAGACAAGAAGCAAAATCTATACAAAAAAGAAAATCTAAATAAAATAAGCTAAAAAAAAATTATTAAAAAAAAAATAATATACCTAAATATTTACTGTTTTTGCTTTCTAATTTTTAGAGCGTTTGTTATTTTCCACTACCAAAAGTGATACAAGTCAAGGAAAAAGTAGATAAGAATATAAGGAAAATAAAAATATTTTTTAATTTTTTCTCAACTTTTTTCAGTCAGTATAGAAAGGAAATTGTGCTAGAAACACGGACAGTTTTTAAATTTGTTTTTCAAATGTCTTTGCTAAACTTTACTGTTTTTATCAATGGACAGGAAAGCAAGAAAACTAATTGTAATTATTTGTTAAAAATTTTATTTATTTTTAACAAGTTTTTTATGTAAAAAGATGAAACGATGCTGCAAAATTTTGTAGGCTAGTGCATTGTTAATTCACTGAACTTTCTTAATGAAATTTTTAAATTTGAAACTTTTGAATAAGGTCTAATGGTTAAGTTTTTGAATACATTTTATTAAACAGAGAAATCTTTATGTTTATTATCTCCAGTAGTTTGTATTAACATTGGAAATTGGGCAATATAAAAGAAACAATTTCATACATGCATCAAATGCATTAAATACATTTATTAAAGAAGTTATTTTTTTATTTAACTTATTCCTTCATTAACAAAATTTATTATTCAAACAATATTTTTTACAAATAAATAACAATTTATTTTCTTATTTTCCCTTTATATGAGTATTGAGAAAAAGAGTCAAATATAGCAAAAACTTTCTTAAAAGCGAAAAGACATAAAAACAAATAAACGTAATAAACGAAAAAACATAAGAAAAAAAATTAACAAAATTTCTTATAGTTCTAGCGTACATAGCAAATTAGTTTCCTAATTATATTAACTGATAAAAATCATGAATAAATTGCATATCAAAACTTTCAATTAATGTTAACTTGTTATAAAAGATTTTTTTTTTAACATTGACTCAAAAAAAATAATAAAAAAATTGTAAAAAAATTTTATTAATTTTTTTTTTTAAATTTCCTTTTTTTAATATTTAAATTTTTCTAGTTTATTTAATTAAACTTGATAGTTTGTTATAATTTTGTTTCCTTATTAAAGAATTTTTTTTTTTCTTAGTAAATAAGTTTAGCTTTTTGCTGCGAATTATTGAAATGCTTTATAAGTTAAAAAATGCGAACTGCTGTGGTCAGGTAAAAATTACTTTAAACATGGACAAACAAATTTAATATTACATTTTAAAAAATGTTTGATATTAACAAATTTCTTTCTTTTCTCAACATTTTCATAAATGAATTAATATATGTTAAATTTTTGAATTTTTAAATGAATATTTTTTAACTTTCTAATTGCAGCTTTGCAACTACAAATGATTTTTTATTTAAAAAAAATTAGAGAGTAACAAATAAAAAAATAACATTAATTTATTTACTTTATTTATTTAAATTTTATTAGTTTATTATTGATGTAAATGTTTATTAAAAAAGCACCTAAATATTAATTTTAAAAATGTCAAATGTAATTATGGCAAAATGCTTAAAGTGACATGTTTATTTGAATGAAAATGTTTAAACATTTTTTTTCAAATTTCATTAATTCTTTAGTTTTTGTAAGAATTTTTTAAACTACTTTTCAGCTCTGCAATCTAATTTTATTTCCATCAACACGTAAAACTTCACTCGGTGTTTTAACATTTTCTCTGATGTCCTACCTTCATTCTCCAACTCCTTTTCATCAGGTATGAAATTTTTAATAAATGGCTCTACATAATTGTTTTTCTGTTTTTGTTTTTTTTTTAATTTCTTTTTATTTTGTCAAAAAAACATTGTGATTTATATAATCTCGGATAGAAAATGAATTTTAACTTTAAGTTCTTTTTTTTGAAAACATGGTTTTATACAATCTTAAATAGAAAATGAATTTTAAAAGCTAGGATAAAGTAATCTTTTTGTGACTTTCAAATCTAAAGTCCTTTTTATGACTCCACATCCCTGTTTATAACCATAGGTGAATATTAGTATCATGTTTAGAGAGGGATGATAATGATGATGATGATGATATGATGATGATGAGAATGATGATTATGATGATTATGATGATGATGATGATGATGATGATGATGATGATGATGATGATGATGATGATGATGATGATGATGATGATGATGATGATGATGATGATGATGATGATGATGATGATGATGATATAATTTTTTTAGGCTTGCAAGTTTTTCCCTAAACTCATAGATCATTTACAGAAAGAAGAGAGCTGCAAAAAATATGACAAAATTTTAGCAGAATTAATCTTCACCTTGATGTATCATTTCCCAGGGTATCCAGATGTATATTCTGACATATTAGTTGCATTAAAGGTTATTTTCACATATTTTAATTTTTTTTTTAATTAAATTGATATTAAATTTTTAACAATTTAAAATTTTGCTTTTTATTTATGTTTAGAATTACAAAAAACCCTCAGAATCTGAGATGAAATTGTGGTTATCTGCTTCTTCTGTTCTTGTTAAAGTGGAGGTTCCTCATTGTTCAATTGTTAGCAGAAAGTCAGAGACTGGGAAAGTGGGATTAGAAAATCTAGGCAATACTTGTTTTATGAACAGCATCATTCAAGCTCTTTTTAACCTTATCAAGTATGAAGTTTTATTTGACTATATATATATATATATATATATATATATATATATATATATATATATATATATATATATATAGTGTGGAAATTAATGGTCGTTTAACGGTTAACTGCCCAAAATGACAAAAAATTGCTATTTTGACCTCCCTAAATAAATCTTGCCAGTCACGGTTAACCAGTTGAAAAAAAATCAGAGTTTTGAAAAACAAGATTTTATAAACAATGGATGACAACAATCAGGATGTAATTTGGAAAAACTAATTTCATAAAATTGTTTAATTTTGAAAAAGCGTTTTAAAAAGTTTTATTGGTTACGATAAGCTGCTTTAATTGAGTAGGTGCAATTAGCAGAGCTGAGCGGATTGGCTGAGCAAATCATTTATATGGTACCAACGACAGATTCGATTATAAAATTAGCTGAACTTTTATAAGAAATCTGCTAAATAATTTGTCTCACATGCACACAAAGCATTCCAAATCGAATTATAATATTTTAATAACTTGAATCTTGGCACTTTTTTTTTTACTGAAGTAGTAGGCGCTTTATCAATAAAAAAGTGATCTGCTAAATTCTAATAATTTGGCAGATCACATGTTAGAATTAGGTTGTTTGGGTTTTCGCAAGTTTAAGTACATGTTTGATTAATGATCAATGGTAAAATGAATTACCATCAAATGAATATAAAATCAATAGTTTTAGATTAACTATTGACAAGATATTTTTTTTACTATCAACCTTCAGTCAGACGTGAAACATTGTGTCTATATTGATTCTTTTTACCATCAAGTTTCAATATAGAGTGCATAGTTTTTCATAATTCTAATATTTTTTCTGCCAAGTTATTTGGCAGATCACTTATAAAAATTCAACTTATTTTATGATCCAAAAGAATGTCATGATAAGAATTCAGCTGATTTTGTAATCAGCTGATTTTATAAAATAATAATTTTAGAGCGGATTATAAAATATATGGTACAAACTGCATATATGGCATTTGTCCTATATAAATTTATATGTTTGTACTATATAAATAATCTGCTCAGCCAATCTGCTCTGCTCTGACAATTGTACCTACCCTTTTAATTCGCTTAGTTGACTAGTATTATATATGACATAAACCAGGTTCATTAATTTTTTTGCTTAATTTATTTAGATTACTTTTATTTCATTAGTAGTGAAAATCCTTTTTGCATAAATGATTTAAGTTATAAATTTTATTATCTTAAGAAAAATATTCAATATATTATTTTGATAATAGTATACAATTGCTGTATTAATCTAAGAATATTTTTTCTTTTACTGTACTTTATCATTTATTTTTGTTTTTTTCTTTAATTTTTTTTTTTTTTTTTTTCTCATAAGTTTTTGTCGCAAATTGCAATAAATGATTGAATGGTTTATAATTAAATTTAAAATTACTTATTGCACATTCATGCGTTTTTCTATAACAAGATTCTTAATAAAATAAATATATTTAGTAAAAATCTTGTTTTGTGTGATGTATATAATTTTTATAGTAATATTTCATAAAACTTAATATTAAGTATTTAGTTTAAATAATATCTGAACATAAAGTTTTTTTATTTATAAACATTGTTATTAACTAATTAGCATTATTAGTTTTGAAAATGATTTTAACGAGCAGATAAATGTGCAATCATTTTTCTTTTTTAACATCATTAGCTTTTTTTTCATTTAAACTTTTCATTTATTTTTTTGTAGCTTTTTCCGCCATTTATCAAGTCATTGAATTAGTCAATGAATTAGTTTGAAAAAGTCAATGAATTAGTTTTAAATTTAAAATTATCAAATTGCGTGTTTGCACTTTTTTTTTCTTTTATTAATCAATTAATCAAAGAATCAGACAAAAAATATATTTGAAAATTTTTTTAATTTTGATTTTTATTATAATTTTTTTAATGTATTTTTTTTTTAGTTTTTTTAGTTGTTTTTTTTTTTTTTTTTTAGTTTTTTATAACATAATGTAATTGTAATATTAAGTAACATACATAATTGCTGTAGGAGCATTTCATAAAACGATTTCTTTTTTTAAGTATTAAGTATTCAGTTTCAATTTTTAAATATTTTATAAAATTATTGTTGATATTTTTAGAAAAATTCAACATTAATTAAATTCAATTACTTAGATGTTACCAAACTTTTTTAATATAATAAAAATATGTGCACTTTTAATAGTTATTTTACTATTAACATTAGCAGGGTGTTTGAACATTAGTTTTTTGTGAGTTTCAATTTAAAAAATTCATTGATTTTATTTAAAACTATTATTTTAAAAGGAATAAGAATTCCTAAATTTTCAAGCATTAAGTTATTGTGTTTATAATTTTCAAGTGTTAAGTTATTGTATTTGTAATGTTCAGTCATAAATTGCTATTACTAAGATAAAAAATTGAATAAGAAAAAATTTTGACAGTTGAAAAAAAACAAAAACTGTTAGCCGCTTGGATTGACCGCTCACCTTTGATTTCTTATTTTTCACACTGATATAAAAAAATATATATATTAACCTTGTTTTAAAGCGTTATGCTGCATGGAATTTACGTACTTGTTAAGCTTATTTTACGTACTCCTAAACTGACTTTTTATTATTAACTTTTTATTTAATCATTAAACAGTAAGACAAAAGAAGTAATTAATTTATAAAAAACCACTTTAACTTTTGAATGGTGATTATTTAAAATAGTTTGAAAACTTCTTTTTTGAGCTAATTATTTTATTGAAATATTTAGTAACAGTAAAATATTCAGTAAAATTGTTTATACTTAACGATAAATTTTTTTTTTTGTATACAAAGTTATTAAATGAAACATAAATAAAAAAAACCATAAAAAAAATATATTTAATAAAAACTTTTATTTTATCATCTTACAAATGCGGTAGTGGTGTAGTGGTAGAGCGCTTGCTTTATAAACGAGTGGTTCCGAGTTTGATCCCCACCACGTCCCTGGTAGTACCGCTCTCAACTCGTTTCTCCGCGCAGCGGTCTTGTTCGTCAAGGTTCGTGTTTCAGAGTTATAGAGTTAAGAGAGGGTTACAACCACAAATAAGTAGCCTCCTTGTCTGTAGTGGCCTTGAGGAGGTGAATTAAAATAAAAAAAAAAAAAAAAGTACAAAAATATTTATAAAACTTTTGATCGCAGTAAAAAAAATTTACTTATGGTTGCTGTATATTGTGACATAGCTTTTGGTTGAAACTTGTATGGTTGCTGTATATTGTGACATAGCTTTTGGTTGAAACTTGTATGGTTGCTGTATATTGTGACATAGCTTTGACCAATAAACAAAAGAAAACTCCATTTACTATCTCTAGAGGATGATATTACTAGATTATCCTTATATGATGTTATGAGTGAAACAAATTACAATAATTAGGGAAAAGTTATAGAATATCAGACAAATTAGAGGTAACTATATTTTGTTGTTAAGCAATATTTTATTTAGCTTTGTGAGTGCATCAACAGAGGCTAGCCTTACATTGTATTTCAAAAAAAGACAAGTGACAGCCTATAAACTTATAGTAATTGCCTCTAACAAAATGCAAAATTTCTGCCACATAAGCAATACCATGACCTATTATTGTTGTCAACAGTTTCTGTGCTTTAAAAATGTTATTTGTTTGCTGGACTGTGAGAACCTGATTTGAACTGTGAGGCAGAAGGTTCCTGTAAGCCTATAAACAGGTAATGTTTCGATAGATAAATAATGTTCCAGTAGATAAATAGTGTTCTAGTAGATAAATAGTGTTCCGATAGGCAACTTTAATGCTTCAAAGTTTAAGTTTAAAATAGAAAAAACTTTAAAAAAACTTTAAAAGACTTTAAAATAGAAAAAGATTCTTGTTTAAGTTTCTAAACAGTTTACAGTCAGTGCTAAACAGTGTGGAGACTTCATTCTGAATTTAACATACATAGAATAGATTTAAACATGTAGAAGAATATACTCAATATCGAGAGCGAGTCTGTAGTTACTTTTAATGGAAGAAGATTTTAATTTAGCATTAACTTTTACATGCTGCTCTAGAGCAAGATAAAAGTTATGCATAAATTCTGATGGTCGCTTTGGCCACTAGTGTGATACCTCTTGTCCTTTCTGTGGTTCAATGTTATATTCCTTGCCTTATATCAGCAAAGACTACTATCATTATCAGACATAAATTCAATTAGGTACAATTTATTTTAGTCAATTATTGTATTATTAACGCTAATATACTGCACAGCGTCTATCTTACACATTTTCACTTTATCTATATATATATATATATATATATATATATCTATATATACAGGCTTTGGAGAGGAATAAATGAATACGAGAGCGGAAAAAAGCTCTCCTAAAAGGGAAAAAAGCGGAAAAAAGCTCTTCAGTATATTATGCAATTATTTTTTTCCAAATGACATTGTGTTTTTTATTTTATTTAAAATGATAATTATACTTTTATGAGAAAAATTATACTTTTGCGAGAGCTGTAAATAGCTCTCATAAACCGTTTCAGGGGAGTGTTTCAAACCTCTATATATATATATATATATATATATATATATATATATATATATATATATATATATATATATATATATATATATATATATATACAGGCCTCTTGCTTCCCGCCGAGGCCTATATATATATGTATATATATACAATTAAAAAACTCATTTTTTCATGTTAACTTATGTCATTCTGTTGAAATTAGAACGCAAATTTCTACAAACAATGAACTGTGATTTGTGAATGAGACTTCATTCACAAATCACCGACACACCGTTGAGATAAAATTTTATTTATTTATATAAGTTTATTAATAATATTAAATTGTGTAATAAATACAAATTAGTTATGAGAAATGTTAATTTAATTTTGTAAAAGCATATGCTAAAAACCATATGTATAATAATAAAAAAATTTTATTTAATTTCGAAAAAATTATTTCGAAAAACGTTGTGTTTTGAACGGAATAGTTTGCTTGTCGTTAAAAACAAAATAATCACTATTCACATATTTTTAATGTTTTAATGATGCAAAAATAATATGAGTTTATATTTTAATTAAATGAATGAAAACAAAGAAAGCTTATCAACTTCTTTCAAATAAATTCGATGTAATAATATAAAAAAATTGACTGTAGTATTAAGTTAAATATGAAGACGATAACAAAGAAAATATATAAAAGATAAATTTATTCTTTAAAACAAGATTATTAAGAACTAGGTGGAAAAAAAAACAATCAGATGAGATCAAATAATAAATAAGTGTTTAGGAAGTCAAAAAAATTTTAAATGTTTTGTCAGGCAGTGCGCTGCTAAATAATAATTTTAAAATAATTGTCTAAAAAACGCTGTATAATAAAATAAAAAATTAATAAAATTGTATGGAACACCCATATCCAAAAATAAAAGATTGCTTCCGATAACTTGATGACAAGCGCGCATAATCGCGCTCGCTAAAAAAATATTGAATTTAACAGGCGCAAAACATTTACTTTATGCCAAGGCCTATATATATATATATATATACATATATATATATATATATATATATATATATATATATATATATATATATATATATATATATATATATATATATATATATATATATATATATATATATATATATATATATATATACATATATATATATATATATATAAAAGTTAAAACTGTTACTTGTTGTTTTTTTTCAATATAATTTTTTTCGTAATTTTACAAGTTTGGAAATTTTTCCAAATTAGCACAACCTTTTAAATTAAAACATTAATAAAAAGGATAACTTCACATGTAAAAAAGCTCTGGAAAGAAATACAGTTTTTCCCTTCTATTATTCAATCATCATGTAAAATTGTCACACTTCTAATAACTCAAGTTAGTGTTGAACGAGTATTTTCAACACTCAAATTTCTGACACCAGAGCTAAGAAACCATATGACATGAGATCTTATTGATAATTTGATATTTCTAAAGACAAACAGCAAATACATTTGATTTGTTTGAGCTTTAGTTTTGGGTTAATAATATATAGAAATAAATTGATATTTACTCAAAACTTTTTTGTCCTTTTTTTTCTTTTTAAATGTAATATGCAGCAGTAGAATAGTGATAGTAATACATTCGCCTTGTAAACATGAAAGTTGATTAAAAATTAATTACTGTAATTGGTTTGGACTTAGGTAGGCAATATGTGATTTAAAAAAATATTCCAAAATTTGCAATACTTGTTCATATAGTCAGGGAGCCGGAGCTTAGCCAGACATTTCTTAGGAGCCATGCCATAAAAAAAACTTTTGTCTTTTTTTAATATAACAATTAGTATTGCTTAAAGACTTCCATCTAAATCAATATAACTCAAATAGAGAAGTTAATATCTACAACTTCAACAACATTTTTTATTTTAGTTTTAAAAAATTAACTGAAATATTAGTAAACTATAAATAATTAACTTAACTCAAAAAAAAGAATAACCACTTAAAACAGTTATTAAACCATGTTTGAAAATATAATATTATTATAAGTATAATATTATTTATAAGTAAAGTATACGTATATAAGTATACGTATATACAGGCCTAAGCGGGAAGCGAGAGCTTTAGCTCTCACTCTTGCCCACACTCCCCTAAAATGATTTATGGGAGCAATTTACAGCTCTCGCAAAAGTATAATTTTTTCTCTTAAAAGTATAATTATCATTGTAATTAAAATGAAATACACAGTCATTTTTTTGATGTCAAATTTTTTATCAAATAAGTAATAAATAAATGAATAGCTAATGTGAAAAGCTAAAGACAATGCTCGTCTAAAGAATTTTTGCATGGTGCAATAAATGATATTTGTTATCTATATATTCTTGTAACGTTAATGTTCAAACATATGCTTGTAACAAGTATAAAACCAAATTTTGTTTTTATTAGGCAATATTTTAATGAATAAACAGATAGCTCATGCAAAAACCAAAAGTTCTTGTAAGAAGAAGGTTAGAGGAGTCGCTCGCGAGGCTCATTATATTCATTTTAGATACAACTTCGTTTGGTATTGTGGTTTATCCTCCTCCAGCTAGTTGCCATATAGAGGCCACATTACCAAGGCCCACAAAGACAAGTTTGGCTCCTTAAGGAGCGTCATAACTTGCTCTACGGACCAAAAGTAAGTGATTTTGGGAAGAATGAAGATATGTTAGAGTGAAAGATAAAAGTAGTTGAGTTAGAAAGATAACATAGAGAAAGCAAACAGGATTGCACGCAAAGGTGCAATACTTTAATATACACATAATTGACATAAGTAAATTATTGTATTAAGTCTTTATTCAAAACTTTTTGATTAAGTTTAATTAAGACTTAAATATTTATATCTTCATTTTAATTTCAGTTAAGTTCCAGTTCCATATACTGGTCTTAATAATGCGCTTTTGTAGTTAATAAATGATGTCAATACAAAAAAAAATTTTCAAACTTATGTTTAGAAGTTATTTGGGTTTGCCATTAAATTTTATGTCGAAAATTTTTTTTTATAAAACGAACCAAACTTTAAACCGATTTAAAATAACGCGATTAATAATCTTTGTTTAATTACAATTTATATTTTATCAAAAGCCAGTTAGCGCAAAGGTTTTTTTAAGAAGGGAAAAACCCAATCTAATTGTGTACTAAGTACACAATTAGACTAAGTACACTTAAATCCTTTTAAGAAAATCAACCATAAACAAGTATTCCCTCATTTTAAAAAAATAACCATGAAAAGAAAAAAAAGTTGAAGAAAAATCCGTTAAAGAAAAAAAAGTTAAGTTTAAATTAGTATAAGATTTTAAAATAACAAAATTTGTTTTAAATAACATTTAAAATTAATTTATAACTTTTTTTATAAAAATATTGTTTAATTTAAAGATATTTCATTTAAAAGACTTACAATAATTTCTAATGTATTTTTGAATTTAATTACAAGTTGTTTTAAAATACGCAACTGACGCAATAAAACTTTTAACGATGTAAACATCTTTATTTAATAAAGTTACATTTATTCACGATGCGCTTTTCAGTTATGAAACAATATCTCATACGAACCTTGACAAGCAAGGTCGCTGCGTGGAGAAATTAAGTTGAGCGCGGTACTTCCAGGGACGTGGTGGGAGTCGAACTCCGAACCTCTTGCTTACAAAGTGAGCGCTCTTACCACTAAACCACTATCGCATATATATATACATATGTATATATATATACATATGTATATATATATATACATATGTATATATATATACATATGTATATATATACATATGTATATTTATGTATGAATATATATATATATATATATATATATATATATATATATATATATATATATATATATATATATATACATATATATATATATATATATATATATATATATATATATATATATATATATATATATATATATATATATATATATATATATATATATATATATATATATATATATAGCCTTATAGTATATAGCTTTTCATAATATCAATGATGAGCTCATACCAAAATAAGGAGCTGCAGGTTTCTTACTTTAGTACATGTTTAGGTGTTTGCATTTGGGCATGTATTATTTAGATATGAAGAACATTTATTACGGAAAAAAAATGTGTTTGTTATTTTAAGCAAAGAAATATGTTTTTATTTAAGTGTTGAAAAGTTAAGGAAAATAAATTTAAAACTGTAAATTTTATATAAACCATAAGAAACTTAAATTTATGTTTAGTTTTAGAAACGATATTATCAGCCATGTATTTTCTCCATCAACACAGAATGTTTCTGTAGAATTACAAAAGATATTTTCATTACTATCTTTTTCAGAGGTAATTTTTGTGTCATTTTAATTGATTTTTTAGAAAAGCTGATAATAGTTTTGTTATTTGATTATGATCAATTTAATATTTTATGTACTTATTGGTTGGATGGTTCTATTTTTTTATTTTATTGAATTAATTAAATATTTGAATAATATATAGCATATTTATTTAATGTGTTTCATTTTGTTTGACTATTAAATGTGTTTGCAATGTAGCGACCGGCAATAGTTCCAAAATCATTTTATGATGCTTCTCGACCTGAATGGTTTTGTGTTGGATCTCAACAGGATTGTTCCGAGTATTTTAAATATGTTCTTGATCGCTTAGAGAAAGATAAACCTTCTTTAGTTCAACATTTTACAGGCATGTTGAATGTCATTGTTGAATGCTTAAACTGTCATGTACAATCTATAAGAAAAGAATTGTTTAATGATTTACCACTTTCTTTTCATGAGAATGTTGCAGGTCAATATACCTTAAAAGGTGGGAATCCCACAGGAAATCAAAGTAGATCAATGCAATGCGATAGAGGAGAATCATCCATAATACTGGAGCAAGTAGAGAATGATGACACCTTATCGGACAAAGAGGTTTCAGATGATGAATCTCTCTTAAGCATGCTATGTGCATATTTTCTTCCTGAGCATTTAAGTGAGATGAATAGTTACTTTTGCAACAATTGTCAGTCTCTGCAAGATGCAACAAAAAGAATAAATATTGTCAGCTTTCCGCCATATTTAACTTTAACTTTAAAACGATTTATGTTTAATGTGAAAACTCAAAAAAGAAGCAAGTTACTACAGCAAATAGATTATCCTTTGACATTTAAATTATGCAAAGGATGCAGTGCTTGTTGTGATAACACAAAAATATCTTCGCAAAATCCTTCCATTATAGCTAATTCACTTGAAAATTGTCAGAGTGAAATAAAGTATAGGTTGTCGTCAGTTATAGTTCATTCTGGGCTATCACTTGATTGTGGTCATTATTATAGTTATACATGTCAATATTCTGCAAATGGATACACCTGGTTACTTATGAATGATAGTCGAATAAGCAAAGTATCAATGGAAAATTTTTCAAAATCTGGAAAAAGTTTTCCTAGAGATACACCTTACATTTGTATATATGAAAAGTATGACATAGATTTGTTCGCAACTGCTAAGGATGTACTTTTACCACAATATCTAAGAGATATGGTAGATCAAGATAATGCAATATATAGAGAGGTAACGTTTATTTTTTTGTAAAATATGTTTTTCTTTCATGATCTTTATGTAATACTTTCTTGTGTTTTTAATAACCTATGAGATATAAAAACGTAAACAAATTTAGAAAATGAATATTTTAATTTCTAAGTTTATAAAATGAAAACATGGCATAATATTATAAAAAAAAGGAATTTTTACCAATAAAATGAAGAATAATGCAGTGTACTACTTCAAATCATTTCTCAAAAAATTTGTACACTCTTCTTTTTAGACTTTTTAGGCTTTTTTGTCTTTGATATCATTAAATTATGATAGATGTTATTAATATAATATTTTACACTGTGAAAAATATATTCCAGTATAACCCTGTGTTAACAATTTCCCGTTATTTTATCAATTTATTGTTCATCAAAAAAATATTTAAAAGTACCGGCATGTTATCTAGTTGTAAAATGCAAATCGATTTTGTAATTTAAATTAATAATGTGGAAGAAGTGATGGAGAAAAACGTGCTTCCGAACACCAAAAAATTGTATGGAGAAGATTACCACTGCTTCCAACAAGATGGAGCCCCTTCTCATATGGCTAACATAACTCAGGTTTGGCGCAAGGAAAATTTGACTGATTTTTTAACCAAAGAAGAATGGTCTCTAAGCTTACCAGACTGCAATCCACTTAATTATTTTGTATGGTCTTACATGTTAGTTAATCTTAACAATTATAAGTTTTCAAATTTGGAGCAATTTAAGAAAGTTATTAGCAAAATTTGGGACAAAATTCCGTTGGAAAATGTGCGTACCGCGTGCAATGATTTTGAAAGAAGATTGCTGGTCATCAAGGAAGGGGATGTTATTCAAAAACATTTACTCTAATTTATTAAGTATTATGTCAACTTTTAAATTCTGAATAAAGTTTTTTGAAATATTGTTTTAAAAAAAAGATATACGCATTATTGTTTGTACCAAAACATATTTGTTACGGTGTATAGCATTTTTCAACTAAAAATTAAACATTTTTCAAACCAGTATGACTGATAAATTAACGCAATTAATTTAGTTTTAATTATTATAGGTATTTATGTTTTTATATGTTTAGATTATTATCTTTGATCTCAAACATAAATAGTAGCAATAAATAATTGGTAGCTTCAAGTAACAACCCAGGCCACACTCCGTTTCGGGTGGTCTGGGTTTACTTTTTTTGAATTGGATCCCGTCAGACCCAAACCTGTTATACCTCTAATAATATTTTATCCCGTTAAACCCAAACGCAGGTAAATTTTCCACTTATAAATTTAATTTCAATTAAATAAAAATTAAGCCATAAAGTATTAAAAAAGCTTTATATTTTATAATTCTTTATTTTGTTGCTTTTTTCTGTTATTTTGTAAAGGGTAAACTAAGACTGGTCCTATCCCAAACCAGCGTTAGATCCAATAAGTGGGTCCAGATAGAATTGATACCGTATCCAAACCAAGACCCGTGTTTACGAGGCGGGTCTGGCTCCAGATACATTTGTACCGGATCCAGAACTGACCCATTACAGCTCTCATTGTGAGAAGTATCAGAAAGCTCAAATAATTTGTGATTTTAAGAAATCTTACAAAAGTGAAGTAACAAAAAATTATAAAGTTTTTAAAAAAGATGGTCGTAAGCAATTATTTGCGATCACAGTTATTTTTTTAAGACTCCTGAAATTTTAGTTTTTTAACGATAAGTAATAAGTGTCTATTATTATTTTGAATAATTTTAAATTTTGCTAAAACTGTCTGGATAATATAGTTTAAACTTTTGTGAAAATCTCAAGAGGGCTGCTACTGCAATTGTTCTTTTAATGTTAAATAATACTATATTGTGGGAGAATTATTTACTCTTTTATTATTGCTAGGAGATTCGAATGGAAGAATTAAAACAAAAGCGCGTTTTTCCTAAAAATACTTTCAATAAAGATAAAGATGACGACGACGATGATTTTAATTGCTCAACTTCTTGTTCAAGTTCTAGTAGCAACTGGGATTCAGGAAAATATATATTTTAGCTATTTATTAAATTTCAAGACAGTTGTAAAAATAATTCTTATTTTTTATGCTTAAATATTCTTCAATACATTTTTGTTACTAATAAATTTGAAACAACACTTTGAGGAAAACTAAAAATGTGAAAAATAAGATTTCCTAAGCAAAGAACTGGTTTTTAGCTTGTAATTATTTAATCTGTAGTTTAATAAACAATGAATATAAATAATATTTTTGTATTGCTTTTGTGTTTTTTCAACGAACCTTGCTATTTATTTTGAAATCTTATCAAAAGATTCAAACACAACTTTATTCTCTGGTTGGTAGGAAAGGATTACTTTCAAAAAATAACTTTACATTCTTAAGTCTTTTTTTCTGACTTTAAAAGACAACAGGTCAACTCATAAAAACTAATTCTACTATTAGTATTCATCTACAATAATAATACGGTATAGTATCAATGTTATTAATAGTGCCCACTCGTGCGTTTTGACGCGAAGCTTACAACATCGATTAAACGCGAGACAAGGCTTCTTAGCACTTTTTTATCAGAAAAATATATAGATAAGTAACTTATGTAAATGTAAAAGTTCTTTTTATATAAAAAGTCTGTTTTACTACTTTATTGACACGTTAATTATGTATCATGTGGTTAAAATCGGCGTTTATTAAAAGGAGGGGGGGATGCATACTATTTCAGTATTTGTCTTAAATTACTTAATTGTTTCATTAGCCACATGGATTCTGTGATCAATATGACATGGTTCTGTGATCATATAGCATGGTTCTGTGGTCAATATAACAATGCTTTTTTCCATTCATTTGGGTACGAAACTCAATATTTAAAAGAACTAAATATAAATGAATTCAAGTCACGTTACTGCAGAACCTTCATAGAATAAAATAAACTAGTAATAAAATCGGTAAAGAAGTAAAATTTGAGAAAAACACTAATAAACAAAATCATTTCGATAAATTCGTCTGGTGCATGATTCAAAAGGTTTACAGGTTCTTTATTCGATGTTGATTGTAGCTGAATGTTTAAGTTGTATATGCTTTCTCATTTAAGAATCCTGATGCTTTTTTTTTTAATTGCAAGTCTTTTGTCAAAAATTTTACACTAATATGAAGATATTCATAATAGTGTAAAAATTGAACCATTTAAGTGAAAATTTTGCACCTTTCTTTTTATTGCTCAGTAATTTAGCCTAAGAATGATAAGTAAACTAAACTCCCTGTTATACTGCTTTTAACTCAAATAATTGTTTGCATACTTCAGTTATAAATTCCCGACCACGATCATTGATTTGATGATCTATGTTGATACATTACCATGCCGACAAATTACTTTCTATGAAATTTTAGTGACTGTTTGATCTGATTTGTCTTTGATTATTTTTTAATATTTAAAAAAATTGTCTAAGCATCGAGATAGAGATGACATCTGGTTACAGGTCCACTCAGGTTTGTTTCTTAACACTTGATAGTACTAATTCACATTTAAAAAAGTTTTTGATTGACATTCTCCCTCGAAGAATCAATAAATAAATTAACTAACTTCAATGTAAACCCAGAAAATTTTTTAGATCAAAAATGTAAATTTTTACAATATTTACTAAATTTAAATTCGATCCCCACCACGTCATTGGTAGTACCACGCTCAATTTGCTTCTCTGCGCAGCGGCCTGGTTCGTCAAGGTTCGTGTTTTGGAGTTATAAAATTAGGACAGGGTTGTAACTACAATTGAAATAGCCTCCTTGACTATAGTAGCCTTCGAGACCTTTACGAGGAATTAACATAATAAATAATAATAATAAAGAGTTGTCCAGAAATAAAATGAGCAATTTACAGAGATATTCTGAAAATTCGTTCTATGCATTTTTTTTAAGTACTTTTCACATCTCAATGATGTGAAAAGTACTTAAAAAAAAAGAATTAAAGAAACAAATATCAAATCTTTTACTAATACTTTTAAGTCTTAAAACCAATGATCAGTTTTGTAGCTATATCGCGACGTTAGAATTATCTTGTTCTATCTCCACATTTTTTAGTTTTAAGATGAAACGATTTAAAAAACAAAAACTTTAGGAGTCGGCGTATAAATTTTTTTTCATAACATGTTTTTTCCGCAACTTTTTTACTTAAGACTTAGATTTCAATTCAGTAGAAAGACATTATTTTGAGGAACACAGCACAATCATTAACTCAATTTTTTCAGAAAGTGGAGATAGAACAAGATAATTCTAACGTCGCGATATGTCAGGAGCACAACAGTTTTGAATATTATTAAAAACTCCATAGCGGACTTAGCTTGATTTAGCTTTTTAGCTGAATCAATTTAACTAAATGTTAAGATCCTCTTTAGTAGGATTGATAGCAGCAATATTTTTCCGTGGTTGTTTTGCAAATGGTTTAACAACAAAGATCCGAGCTAAAGATAGTTTCAGATACCAGAAAGCTTGCGAAGAGAGATTCCTTTTAATTTTTCAAAAAACTTATATCTAGCCGGACAGCAGCTGAAAAATACGTAAAGAGCATGAATGAAGTAAAAAAAAGCATGAATGAAGTGAAAAAAAAGTCTTGATCTTAGCGTGTACTTAATCAACTGCATATACTTGAGCTAAATTTAGGTTATGGGCACCACAAACAACCGTTAAAGAGCAGTTGTGGTAACGCACTTGCCTCAGAAACAAAAGATCTGTGGTTCAAACACCACCTCTGGGTAAGTTTTGCAACAACGGTAAGGTAGGAGCTGTGAACTTCCAATTAAATGCTCATCCGCGGTGCTCTGTGATAATACCAAATAGACTCCTTGGGGCACCTAAAAGAAAAAGAAAAAAAATATATATAGAGAGTTGATTGATTCTTCTGTAAAATTAGCGCTTGCACTCCGATTTAAACTCCAGCCATATTTGAGCAGTTGTCGTAACTTTGGCCACGTCATTTTTGAAAGTCAAGTCTTTTTTTGTCAATACATTGCAAATCATATTGGCAATATTTGCTCGCTTTACGAAACGTTTATCAAAATTGATTAATGGTTAAGAAAATAAGTTTATTGGGAATGTCATCGTGAAGTGTTGTACTTCTATGTCATTGATAAATAAGTTTGATCTCAGACATAGAACAGGTAGTTTTACTCAAGCTTGTCTTAGCATTATCGTAATCTAATTTATTAAAAAAAAAATTGAATAGCATCACTCTCGTGAGATTATATGTCCTAATGACAGGACCGGCTCGAGTAGGTGTCAACCGGGGTGTGTGGCGGTGTGCTATTAATATTTTTGCTGACAAAAAAAAAATTCTCGTTTTTTGAAATTTGCCGACTGACTACATTTGTTGACTGACTGTCTGCTTTTGCCGACTGACATGTCCAAAACGTCTACATTTGCCCCCACACCCCTCCTTCGCGCCGCCCTTGCCTAATTTAATACGCAGTCACTTTTTTTTTTCTCATAAATTGGTAAAAGAATAAAATCAATATTTTTATCATCATTAGATAAATAGGGAAGAGTTGCTGATATTAGAACCTTTATTGAAATGCTTCAATTATTTTTAAAATAAAATGTCTTATCGCTATATTTTGTACTTCTCTTGTAAAACATCTTACTCTAGAGATTTCGAAAGTTCAAAAAATGCACGTGCACAATTTAAATCATTTATGTGTCGTTTTTTCTGAGATAAAGTTTCGTCCTCACACTATAATAATTGCAGGAAGTAAACTATACTGTTGTGTCGTTATACGGTTTTCGTGTTTAATGGAATGGAATTTAAAATCTAAAGAATGACATAAATTTATCTTACAAATAACGGCAAGCATGATAATACAGCGATAAAACAACCATGCTTTAATATTGTATTAAAATACAAAACTCTCGATCGTAGAAAAATGCTCAATAATATATATTATATATATGTGTATATATATATATATATATATATATATATATATATATATATATATATATATATATATATATATATATATATATATATATATATATATATATATATATATATATATATATATATGTATATATATATACATATATGTATATATATATATATATATATATATATATATATACATATATATATATATATATATATATATATATATATATATATATATATATATATATATATATATATATATATATATATATATATATATATATATATATATATATATATATATATATATATTAGGATATTCTAAAAAATCTAAAGTTATTTATGCATACCTTCTTATTTTGATTGAATAGTCTAAAAACATTTAAAAAATAAATAATTGCGTACATAAGATCACGATAAACCTTCCCGAGATGTAACGTCTGTGCTTTGCACGTTATGGCGCGACGAAAATCTTGTATAGCTTGCTTGGTATTACTTGTTTATTTTATTAGTAAACGCATTACTTTTAAGTAGTCAACATGTCAGTGGAGTTACGAAGTTATAAAAAAGTTATATTTTTGATAGGAGACGTAATGCATCAAATCATCGGTTCGAAACTTCCCTCAAATGGACAAGTACTGGGGGTTTTATTATATATAATATTATATATATATTTATATATATAATATTCATAAAGTAAATTTAAGTGTCAATGAAAGTGCAAGCCTTACAATTAATTGGGAAAAGGCGCATATACCGATTAAATCATTACCTAACTGTGTAAATAACTTAAGAAGCTAGTTTCATTATTTCAAGTTTGGAGAGATTTGCTAAAAAATGCAAAGAAAAAAAAAGAGAAGCGTTTAAATAACGCTGACAAGAGACTCTTTCCAACAAAAAAACAACTTGTTTGATATTGCTCATGCTGATGCACTTTAGCTAATTAAAATAAATGGAGGTAGGACCTTCTTGGAGCGCTAAAAAGAACCAGGTTGGCCTGGTCACATAGCCGAAGTGGACACAAAATTTACAGAAAAAGAAGAAAAGGCATTAGAAACATTGAAGAAGAAAAGCGACGTGTTAAATAGTATGATTCATTAACTCTATCGACATCATCTTATGAATCACCACAAAAAACATCATCTTCTGATTTGAAATAATAGATTTTCGAGAAAATAGACTCAGCCTAAGTGTTGCTTCCTCTCAGCCCGATCAAACTTGTATGCGGAAAAATTTCATAATTTGAAGTTAGTTGTCGCGTTAAATAGATGTCAGTTAAGTGTGAGAGATTCTGTATTTATAATTGACTATTATTATTAACTGAACTATTGACTATTACTATTGACT